CACGTTTCCAAACCTCAACTTTGGATTTGCACTCTTCCAACGCCTCTTCACCAGCTCGCCACGCCGCTTGCCGATGAGGTGACGAGACGGCGATTAATATGCTCTCTTCTGCGATAGGCACAGGTCCGAGGCGATGAATCATGGCTACCCCGCGGAGACCATGCTTATCGCGAACGTCCTTTGCAATGGCCATCATGGACTTGAGAGCTCTGGGGTGATACGCTGTATACTGTAGCTCCTTCACTGGCTTTCCTGCGAAGTTATCGCGGGTGGTACCTGAGCTTGGTCAGTTCCGCAGTGAACAAAGACCTGCGAGAGACAAGAACTCATTACCTGCAAAGAGCACGATTGCGCCAGCTGAGGGGCTGCGCACCCGGTCCAGGATGGCCTGGGCATTGAGATGATCGTGAGTCAGAGCGACATAGCAGTCTTGTTCTGATAGTTCCCAAAGATCCTGAACCTTTTCTTGAGTTGCCATTTTTAGTCAAGCAAATGTTGGAGGAGAGATGAGATAAGAACGAGTTTATATCTCGGAGTTGTTCTATCAAGAGTGGGCTTGGTTTGTATAAGGGCCAGCCAGATGTCAAGCCATACTGTTTGAGACTATCATGGTTGGGGAAGGCCCAATAGAAATTACTAGGTATCTATAGTAGACATTAGGTAGGTAGTTTGACCTTAGGTATCTGATTTCTGTACTTAATCACTTTCTCCCGCTACCTACCTACCTTTACGCGCTACCCCGGTTTCTAGATAGGACCTCTAATAGGGCCTGCAATAGGCTTTTAATATATTAATAGCTATAAAAAAAATATAATACCTTTAGTATATTTTTCTAAATAGGCTATTAATTTTAATAGGCTTAAAATACTAAAAAGGTATTTATTTAATATCTTTTTTTAATAATAATTTATTAATTAATCTTAAGCCTATTATAGTAAAATTACTATTATATTTAATAGCTATTAATAGTTTAATCTTATAGACTGGCTAAAATAGCCTAAAGTGGCCTAAAGTGGCTTATAGAGGTATTAAAAGGCTATTATAATAGGTATTAAAAAGATTAAAAAGAGATATTATAAAAGCCTTTCTTTTTAAGGCCTTTTTTTTAAAAAAGTTAAGGCTATAGTTAAATTTATAGCCTTAAGGCTAAAAAATTAATAAATTATATTATTAAATTATTAATTAAATAATTTAATTATTATTATAAATAGATTTATAATTTTAATATATATTATAAAGTAAGTTTATTAATACCTTAATAAATATAAATAAATATCTCTATAAATAATTAACTAATAGCTATTATATTAAATAGCTATTTATAATAATAGCCTATTAAATAAATTAAAGACTTATTAATTTAATTAATAGGCTATTAATACCTTAAGACCTATTATTATAATATTAATTTATTAACTATAATTAGCTTTTTAGTTAGAAATTTAAGGTATTATAATAGGCTAGTATTATAGCTATAGCTTTAAAGGTATATATAGCTCTTTAACTGGATTAATAGCCTGTTATATGGAAAAAACTGTTTAGAGCCCTATCAGAAAACCCAGATAGCCTCCTAGGTACCTAGGTACTTTATTACTACCTAGGATTGCCTGCCCAAGTTACCTATTCGCTGGTGATGGCACTCACATGAGCGCATCACATCGCGATGACTAAGCCCCACTTCGACTTCTTTATTCCTCCCTGCCGCCTTGACTTTTTGACTTTCGTTTATACAGTTTTCATCATAATAAAATCCTTCCTTTCCTCTTCTTTTCACATTCAACTGCTTCTAAAATCGACATCGACTTGACCCGATAAAGGCTACCGCGTTAGCCGAAGCTGCTGTTCGCGACGACCACCAAATGCGATCCCCGATCGCTCAAGGGACGACTAGCAAACCAAGATGAACATGAGCGACGAATTTCAAGACCGAGATGCCGGCTACCGATCGCGGCAGGGTAAACACATAACCCGAGCCTCAGGCAGAGATGGGAAACTCGAGAAGGACCTTCATGGATGATTTGAGCCTCATAGCTAACTTCCCCACGGGACGGCGAGATCATTCCAGGTCTCCGCCCAAGCAAGCTTTCCGCGACGATCCTCAAGAGAGAAGTTCTCGATACCGGGATGACGAGAGGGACCACGACTACGATTACGACAACCGGTCTGGCCGTCACGCTGATGGAGACTCAAGAAGAGGCGGCGCATCTCGAGAAGCGCGCTACAACTCTCGCGACGAACATGACTACCGAGGCATGTATGATGATGGTTATGTAGACAACAGCAACGATCAAGGGCAACGACGTTATGAGGACGACAAGCGGAGCGGTAGAGGGCGGTACCGTGACGGCGATGATCCACGATCACAGTCTCCGTCTGGAAGCTATCATAACCGCGGTCGCTCCGGCAGCCCAACGCGAGATGCTGGCAAGCCTAGCGACACCGTCATTCTTGAAGGCCTGCCTTTCAGTATATCGTCGAACGAGGTTGGTACCCTATCGATCTAAGCAAATTGCTACAAGAACACCATGCGGGCTTCTGGGCCTACGGATTCGAGCCTCGCTGCCCTGGAGGACGGACAAAAGGCTGCCGTTGTCCTATGCATTTGTCCTCCATTAAACGGCACCAGCGGCGCAACACATTCCTTGAAACCAGTTGATGCCAGTTCTCAAGACTAATTCCCCCGCCTATAGCTGCGCGACAGTATCCTGAGCAACTCAGTTGCCGCCGAGTTCCCCTCAATTGACGTGCGCGTTTCCGCTTCTAAGGGTCAGTAAGATGTGCTTGATATTTTACGTTTTTGTTGCTGACACGCACGAACAGGAAATCGCAGAGCGTTTGTGCAGTTCCAGGAAGTTGACCATGCTGTTGCTTTTATGAGAGAACATTATCCAAAGCTTCTTGTTGAGATGACGCATTCCACTGATGACGCCCCAGAAGGGAGATTCGATGCGTACATCCATTACGCTCGGAATCGAGATGCACGCGATGAAGCCGATGCTCGGGGGGTTCCCGGTGGTGACTGGATCTGTCCTACTGTAGGTTTGCTCCCACAACTTCAGCGACACAACTACTAACGAGATAGTGTGACTTTTCCAACTTTTCTACCCGAACTAAATGCAAGATTTGTGGCGGCCCACAGGCTGGTAAGTTGACCGAACATTTTAGTAATGATGGATGCTAATGTTGAAATTCTAGCCCCAGCCTGGCAGTTGAGCCTCACGGGCATGGCAGATGCTTCGGACGTACCCTCACAAATCCTTGTTGTTTATCCCTTGGCGTCATTTGTGACTGAAGACATGCTAGCCGAAGACATGAAGCGACTAGAGCTTGTAAAGCCCAACCAAGTCAAGGATACTTCTAATGGAGCACCCAAACTGAAGTCCACAGCCCCGACAGGCGACACGACAGGTTACGGCGCTCGACCTGGCTCTCTTCATCGAGTCTTCCTTATGCGTGACGCGCACACGAACGAATCCTTCAAATATGGATTTGCTGAGTTCTGGACGGTGGAAGACGCATCGGCCGCGATGGCAAAATTTCACAAATCTCGATCATTTACTGTTGCAGCATGCCAAGTGACAGTATCTAGCACTCATATGGGAGTTTTCTTGCCTGAACAACGCGAGGTTACACCGGAAATCGAGCACCTGTCATTCAGACCCTTGCTCAACCCCAACCTTCGTGTTCGATACCGAGACTACCATGTGTATCCGAGCCCGCGGGTTGTTAATGAGCAGCCTCCTGGAGGTGAAGGTGCCTCGAAAACAACCGAGGAAGACGGCAACGATAAGAAGTCAAAGAAGCGCAAAGCAGAGGGAAGTCTCGCTGCTTCTTCTACGAAGAAGTCTGTGCCAATGATGGCGGGCCAAATGGCCATGTGGCAGCGCAAGAGGGATGAGCTTCGCGTTGAGAAAGATACTAGACCGGCAAGACGGGACAAGGCTGAGTTCAGCGATGTGAATCGGACCCCACTTCGCATAAACCTGTCAGGTTCAGGAGGAGACTCATCGAAACCCCAGAGTGCTATTAAGATCTCACTTTCCGGGACACAGAAACTTGGTCCTCCAGAGCATGCGGCTCCCAGCAAGCAGGGCTCACCAGATGAGGCGGATACTCCCGGCAGTACGACACAGGCGACCTCAGTCTCTGGAGACGCACCAATCTCTTATGTCGATCGTGATCGATTGATGTGCCTGATTTGCATGCGCAAGTACAAATCCGCGGATGAAGTTAACATTCATGAAAAATCCCGGAACCACAAGAACGCGATGGAAAACGAAGAACTGGTCAAGGCGGCATTGCCTAGATTAGCAGCACGCGACAAGAGACTTCAGAAACAGGTCCAGGAGAATCCCGACTCGGCAGCTGCGGCATCGCAATATCGCGATCGTGCTAAAGAGAGGCGAGCCGCCTTCAACCAGCCTACCAAGCCAACAGTCGCACCACAAGGCAAACCCAAGTCGGGCCCAAAGGCGGAAGAGGCGGCGCCCGCTCCGAAGCCCGTTCAGTCTAAGGGAGCAGGTATGCTGGCCAAGATGGGATGGTCAACCGGTGCAGGTCTTGGAGCCAATGGAGATGGGCGTACCGAGGTCATCGAGACAAATGCTTACCAGGAGGGCGTTGGATTGGGCGCAGAGGGCGGCAATCTTGGCGACGCAGCGCAATTGGCTGAGCGTAAGACAAAGAACAGTTACGCCGAATATGTGAACACGGTGCAGGACAGGGCACGGGAGCGGTACAACAAGATGGGCTGAGATGTTGACACAAAGGCCATGTAATTGTAGATTGGGATATAGATAGGTAAAGGCGTTCAGAATTTGCCGTGAAACTGAGAACGAAACTCGACAAGCCAACGACAGACGCACATCTTCAATTAATGGGTATCATTTTTGAACACAGCACTTGTAGAAGCTAGTGTCTTAGATTCTATGTACATGCGCGAACTCACTTGCAACGTCTGACGCTGGCTTTCAACTTCCATTGCTATTCTAATCTCATGATTACAAGAGAGTCAATGCAACACCCGCAGCCACGATGAGCGTCACCATGGAAGCAGGAGACAAATGACCGGCAGCATTGTCGTCCTCTTCAGAACTGGAGGTGCCTGTAAATGTGTTAGTTGAGGGGGTGAATAAGAATGAAACGGATATAATAGATGACTCACCCTCAACACCAGTGACATCCGGGAATTTGGTGTCCTTCTCCTTAAGTTCAACGATGTTTGACTCGTCCGTGTTGTGGTTCGCCTCAGCGATGCCCAGCTGTTCATTTGCTAGGTCATAAACAACATAGGCAGAACGCAGGAATGTGTCTCCCAGAAGAGTGACGCCGCCAGTGAGGCCATACTGACTCACAGGGCTGATTCCAAACATACAGACGCTGTCCCAATCATCGAAGTAGGAAGAGACTTGAGGGTCGTCGAAGATTTCCTGCTTGTCGGGAAAGGCATCGATGACCATCTCGCTCATGGGAACAGAGATGGTCTTGCCGTCGAACTTGAAGTCGAAGCTAACGCCCTTGCCCTTGTCTTTGCCGTAGGCGCAGTCTACAAAGGGGATAGCGACATCCTCCACACTCAGGACGTTGAAGGCCTTGTAGATAGGTCCTACTTGGGCTTCGGGCAGGAGGCAGACGGTAGCACCAGAGTCGAGGATGGCGGTGGTGTCTCTCTCGAGACTGTCTACCTTGATCTCCTGGCCCTTTGGTGTCTTGACCTCGAAGCCTTCAAAGGCGACGGTGAAGTGAGTGAGGTTGAGAGTAGAAGGATCAGGCAACAGGGGCAGAGTTGCAAGCTTGCCGACGAACTTTTTAGTGTCGAGACCGCCGAAGAGGATAGTTCCTTGCTCAGCACTGAGGTCGTTCTGTCGGTTTATTAGTCAGGGGGTTAATTATTATTGTTTCCTTGCCGACTTACCAGCCAGAGACTGAAGGCGGCTCGGTCGATCAGGCCCTGAGACACCATGTTCTCGACAATGGTTGGGTATGTCCCGTTGGCGACGACATTTGCAGAGAAGCCCAAGCCCATGAGGCCCGTTGGACGAACAGACTTCGTCGCGAGGCCTAGCCTCTGCTGCTTGATGCTTTTTCCATCGATGGTGACGGTATCGTTGAAGTAATCACCACTAATAGAGCGGGTATCAAGATAGGTGATGTCGAATCCATCACGATCGACCAGTTCATAGGTACGACTCTTGCCAGGTTTAACTACAGAAGGTTGGTATATTCAGTCTTGGTGGTTGAGACGGGAGAGTAACTTACACGTAGTCATACAAGGGCCAATAGTCTCTTGCTTGGATCTGCTGTTGCAGAGATCGGTCTCATCTGAGTTGAGCCAAGTATCACTACTACCAGTGTCAAGCTGAAAGCTGATGTTTTGGCCTGGGGTACCGACTTGAAATTCGGCGTAATAACCACCCCCTGTGATATTGTTCAGAGCAGCGAGACTGAGAGTGTCGCGGCTGTGAAGGGACGATTCATGATGGAACCGTTGCTTTACAACTGGGGCAGAGACAGTGCCAGCAGAAACTCCAACGGCGAGAGACGTTAGAATCGTAAAGGCTCGCATTGTGCTAAAGTCAATTGGGAGGCTGCTGAATAGAGTTGATAACTGGCGTGCACGATGCAACACTAGCACGCGTTGATCTGCAATGGTATACAAGCAATAAACGAAAACAAAATATATATAGACTTAATACGATGAAGACTAAAAAAGATGAAAAGGTTTAAATCTATAAGAAAACGACCAAGGAATAAGCTTAATTCCAAGGTATTAATTTAGCGTCGGGAGTTAAAAGGAGTGAGACGAAGAGTGAGACGAAGAAGAAGAAGACAATTGTAATTTATTAGAGGAGGAGCTGAACTTTTTCTCTTTTGATCAGCTGGAGATTTGCCAAGACTTGCCCAGGCGGTTAAGGCAAGTAGGTAGGTAGGTAAGGTAGGCAGTGCCTACGCCACTAAAACGCCCGAGTCTGAGCCTGAGTCTGCCTTATTAGGGGTGATTATCCAATTGGATCCAAGCAATTCAGCCACTAGAGCCCCTGGGGAAGTTCCCGGGTTTGGCATTTTTAGCGGTCCTTCAAGGATCTAACGCTACGCTACAGTGGATGCCACTCAAGTCGGGCGGGAATATTCCATCCTTCTATGGATTTGTAGGAAGAAGGAATTGGTAATTGCTACGTGTACGAGGCTTAGCTTTGCTCAACAGTCTTGGAACCTGCGAGTCAGTTGGAGCCCGAAGGACCATGTTTCATGAGTCTTTGAAGATGGTTAAGAGTACATGATTTGTCTTCAAGAGACATTTATATAGAGGTTTGAGTCTTGTCGTTTTTGTACTGTAAAGGATTTCTCTTCTTATTGTTCTGCCTTGTCGATAGTTTGATTGTGGGCTGATGTGCAAAACAGGCACAGGCATCACTTCCATCATAGACTCTCTTATAGCACAACTTTCTAAGGCACTGGTATTTCGTGTGTGACTTTGCACGTGAGTTCTTGCTAGAAAGAAGAAGTCTAAACTTCTCCCCACGGAACGAACATTACATTGAATATATTCAAATCTTCAGCAGTATATTTAATTAGTAATAGCTCATACGTAGTGACAAACGGAGTGACAGAAGTTGTGGGCAGAAGAACTTACAGGACGAGACCGTGGGTATTCGCCTTGCTCTTGGTTTCAACCAAGGAGTCATTGCAAAGGTTCAGCTGATCCTGCAAAGTCTCGGCGGGTTCGTGCTCATAGTCTTCTATCCACACGCAGACAGGCTTCAGTCGCCGCACTTCGGCCTGAAGACAGCGCAACTCCCAGCTGTCCACCTTTCTCTTGACAGTGTTAGACCCCGCCCTGATCTTGTTGTACTTGATCTGGTCGTAGCACTGAAAAGCTACGGGGCCTATCACCTCCGGATCAACTGGCCGGACCCTTTCGTTTTCAGACTTGATGGACCAATACCGGTCCATCAGTCTTGGGTCCCAGAGGCAGTTGAATGTCACAGGGTGGACTCCGATAGTCTTTACGAGCTTCTCAAAGGCCACCTTGCAAACGGGACACCAGTCAATGACGATTGCGATGACACTGACTGGCTCGCACTTCTTCTGCAGGAGGAGCCTGTTGAAAAAACCAATGAAGGACTTGGCCCGCTTGCATACCCATCTCTCCTCGTACAAGGAGTGACCACAGGGAGCGAAGAGAAGATGGCGGTCTTGACACATCTTGTTAGTATAATCTGTAGTAGAGTAAAGCAAAAGTTGAAAAAGACGGAAAATGAAATCAAGGCTTGCCTCGAAATGGGTTGTTCGTGTGTTGTAGTGTCGGAGTGTGGGAATGGTTGTATAGTAGGCATCGATCAAAGATTATGATTAGGATGTTTGAAACGCCAAATTGGTGTTGTTGGTTGTGATGGAAAGTTAAGAATGACGAGAAGAAATCTGGACAGAGAAGAGGCCACATATTTATACCAAAATCTTGGTGGCAATAGCAGTCATGAACCGTATTCGGACTCTGGCTGAACACATGCCTGTTCTCCCGTGTTCAGGCGGACAGGACAGACAGTGACAAGAGACAACTCAAGAGCATCGTCATTGACGCAAGTTGCCGAAGGGTATGCACTTAATTCAATGCACAGAGCCACGGGATGTGTTGTTGGGGGCTAACATGGTGAGGAAAATGGGAGCTATCACAATACTGTAGCCAATGAGTCCGAAGAAAATTCCCGTACATGATATGTTGAATAACGCTTTGACCGTAGAACAAGTATGCAACTTACTCTGAACAAGCAAATGGGCAAAGGGAGGTGTACGATGAACAATATATCAACCAGCTGTTTATTGCCTGAACAGTAAAAGTCAAAGAGAAAGCCCCTGAAAAAGGTTCAAGTTTGACGTAGTTGTCAAAGGTAGTAATTAGTATGTATGGTATCAGTCAACAAACGAAACGAAACGAACAAACAAGCAAACAAACACGGCTCATGGCTCAGAGACAGATTACAGCTTCGCACCCTTCTCTCCGCCATCCTGCTTAAGCCGAACAACGCCCTGAACATAGTTAGCACAACTCTCATATCACTCAAACCAAATCACAGACAAGGCTCACCTCTTGGAAACATGTCGCCAGCAACGCCCCATCCCTGCCAAATATCTTCTGTGTAACAACACCCCTGCCATCTCCCGCCCACGGACTCTCCATCTCGGTAAACATCCACTCATCCGCCTTGACTGCCAGTGGCTCATGGAAATAGATGCTGTGATCCAGACTCACCAGCATTCCCACCTGTGCCCGCCCCTTCCAGTCCTCCACGTTACTGCCCATGCCCTCAAACTCGCACAGGCTCTTGACCTGCTCTTGGGTCTTCTCATCCAGCGAGGGTACCTCTTCTGGCGAGAACGGGAAGCGCCATAGTCCGTGGAGGCGGGAGACCGTGCCGATGAAGTAGCTGTCCGACATGTAGGCCAAGGCGTTGAGATGTGCTTGGTGGCCACCTCCAGCTGAGATCTTTTGTCTCGAGCGCATCCACTGCCTGCTCTTGCGGTCCTGTGGCTTGCAGTTTGGGTCCTGGGCGCCCAATACTTCGATTCTGTGGCTCTGAAACGGTCCAGTCCTTGCCCACTCAGGCTCGCCATCCCAGTCCTCTGACGGCGGGCTCACATCCTTCGGCAGGCTCGCCGCATGGCTGACCTCCCGTCGCTTCCTCTCAGGAGGTGTCTCACGCACGAAACTGATGGTGGTGGTAAAGATGCACGCGCCCTTTTGCCGCGCTTGGACCGTGCGTGTTGAGTACGAGCGTCCGTCGCGTACACGCTCAACATGATAGAGAATGGGTATCTCAGAGTTGCCCGCGAGCAGGAAGTAGCAATGGCATGAGTGGACTAGGAACGTCTCCGGGACCGTCTTTTGCGCGGCAGCAAGACACTGTGCGATGACAGCACCTCCATAGATACCACGAGCACCAGGAGGATGCCATTGAGGTTGTGTGTTTGTAAAGATGTCCTGTGACCAGTCAGCAACGCTAACTATATGTTTGTATCGATACCATGCAGCGAGAGTAGTATCGCATATCACTCGTTGATTTGATGTCACCGAACTAGGTGATGAAAAAGAGGCACAACTTACAGGGCCTAGAACCTTGATCTCTGTGACGTCCAATACATTCTCAATCAGAGACTTGCTCTCATCGTGCTCTGGTGGCCGCAGCAGGGTCGGTCTAACGTTGTCTTCAATGACTGTCATTTTGCATGCGCTGTATTGCTGCCGATGATGCTGGAAACAAGTTGTGGATACTCAGGAATAGTCAATATGTAGTATAGACACTATCTTTTAAGGAGAAAGATGATGTATTTAGAGGCCGAGCTTTCATGTGCTGCCTCACTATGAGCTCCCTAGTCTACGTACGTAACCTGCCCCTGATGAGTTTAAGCTTGTCCTTTTTTTACCGAGGTTCGGAGTCTCTCCCGGCCGTGGGGCCGAATCTACCTCGTTATCGGCCACTCAGAGCCCGGCAGAGCACAGTTATTCTCCGTTCCGGGAATTACAACGGTACCTATCTTGATTTCGCCCAATATATGCTAAATTTGAACCTCAATAGCGATGGATATGCGTCTGCAACCTGTACTACTCTGTATACACTTCCAGAACTCTACCAACTATACCTAAACATCTCCCCCATACCATCGCAATAGCTGCATTTCTCACATCTCTCACACCCCTCTCTGTTTTGTATAATTAACGATTTCAACGATTTCAACGATCACCAATTATATCACCGAATCGTATCCTCATCCACATGGTCTTCATAAATGGGTTCCAACCCCTCCCACGCAACTTGGGGATCACCGTTTGGACCGGCCTTCTCGCGTCGCTCCCAGTACTTGCCAGTGAATTGCCAATATTCCTCTCCTGTGATCTCACAGCGTGCCTTTCGGAACCACGCGGGCACAAACTCATCGCCTCGCTCTTCTCGGAGACGCCGGCGCGCTCGTTGAGCATTCTCCAGACGATTCTTCTCGTCGGCAGCAAAATCGTACTCTCCATCCTCCATAGCCCGCTGATCAGGTCGAAGGCGAGAGTCAGTAGGTGGAAGCCATGGTCGCAGCTTGTCATCGATATGGTTGAAAGTCAAGACGAATGGCGTCAAGTTGAAAGGAATGCCAGTTGGTCGCTCATTCGCCTTCCAGATGAGATACGCACGGTTGGGGTCTGTAAGACCACCTTGGGCCATGTCACCGCCACTCTCCTTAGGCTCATCAACGGCTGCTTCGTAGCCTGGGGTCAGGCGAGCGTACAGCTTGGAGTTCCAGCGACCACCAAGACTGACGCGGACCTTTCCAGTTGCATCGGTAACCTTTCCAGATACTTGATATGCGCTCGATGCCTTCCAACCACGTGGTTTGAACTCAACGTGAGCCACCTCGCCCGTTGTCCAGTTCTTAATCTCCATTACGCCATAGTTGTCGACGGTTGGGTTTCCAGTGATGATACCAATGACAGACGAGGTAACCTTCTTCCATGTGTAAAGCTCCTCCTTTCCTCCAGCGGTGGGTCGAAGCTTGAGGAACCATGTACCCAGCGGGTTGATGTCGAAGGATTTGCCATAAAACTTCGACTTCACAGCTGATTCACCCCAATAAGACCACTTGGGTGACTCTGCGTACGCAGCGCCGACTGGAGGGTGATGGCTGACTTGCTCGATGAAAAAGCGGTAGTTCTTGTCGGGCCGCACATACTCAAAGGTCTCTCCCAACAGGGGGTTGAAAGGCTTGGCCACACGTCCGATAGTAGAAGCGTACTCACTAGCAGCAAAGGCAGCCACGTAGATAAGTCGTTCGATCGAGTCGGCCCGGTCTGCAGCCAAGTCAAGCAAATCAGCATACTCCATATCCTCTCCAGCACGGTAGAGGAGTGAAGTTGGCTCGTTGAAAGAAACAGGCAGAGTCATCTTGGTCATATCCTTGCCAATCATCGACTTCAGAATACCCTACTCCATATCAGTATTGTTCATATGTCACGTATATGTAGTAAACGTACCCAGAGAGAAATCTTAGGACGGTCATCGGCGTCCATCTTGAGCCTCGTCCGAATGCCATTCTCGTAGCCCTTGAAAGAGGAGCTGATGTCTAGACCACCAGAGACGACAATATCCTGAGACTTAGGCTTGACCTCCTCCGCGGGGAGCTCAGATACCTCAACCTGGCCAGCATCCACAGCGTCGAAGAATTCGTCCTCTTCTTCGGATTCACTCTCGGACAAGTCCACGATGATTGTGGGTTTCCTTCGAACGCTCTTCATCGTAGGCGATTTAGGCGGCACTGGTGACAGTTTGGTGGCAGCATCTTCGAACTTTCCTTCTTCGTCTTCCTTCTCTCTGTCGTCGCTCAATTCCTTCTCTGCAATTGTGTCCTCAACACGGGGCATGGCCTCTTCTACGCCGACGGGTATCCCGCTTTCGATCACCTCTCTTAGCGCCCTCTTCGTGGCCTTGCGTCTCTTCTCTGCCTCTCCAACGCGAGCCTCCAGAACCTCTTGCTCACGGGCCACTTGCGCCATGCTTTCCTCCCACATACGTCTCATATTAGCCTCACGGTCAAGGCGGTATTGCCAGTAGGCGTCACGGTCTTTGGAAATGCGCAGTAAGTCGGCCACCAGAGTTGATAGACTTCGAATGGCGGCATCGTATGTTCCGAGAGCCTGCGTCACGCTGTTGTCAGAGAGAGGTGTGTTCGGGTTCTGGTTCAGCTCGTTGAGAAGGGCTTGGTGAACGTGGGACATTGTTTCGAGCTGGAGCTTAGCCGATTGAGCAGTAATGTTGAGTGCATCCTTAGTAGCTGTGGGTTCTTCATGAATGCTCATATCGTCGCCATAATCGTCGTCGTCATCCATATCGTTATGTGTTGGCGCTCCATTCCTGGGTGCCCGCGAGGTGCCTGCATCAGTCTCAACATCAACGAATTCATCCTCCTCAAAGCTGCCAGTTGTACCAGGGCTAGCATGATTTGGTCTCTGATCAACAGACGATATCTTGGACAGAGACCTGCTTGGAAGTTGAGAGCTATTCCTGCGTAGATCTGTGACGCTGGTGTTCTCGCTGTGAGAGTCCTGGAGAGAAAGCGTACTTGGGTCGGCTTTAGCCTGCCTCAAAAGCTCCGCACCTCGAGCTGCCCGCTTCTCTTCCTCCTTGGCCTGATCCTTGGACCACTGGATCGAGTTATTGAGAGCCCAGAACCATCGCTTGGCCTCAACCTCATGGTTCGCTTTAAGGGTATATTTGACAGAGGATTTGCCGTGAATTTCGAACTTCGTCTTTTCATCAGGACTCATGTGGAGTTTCGCAATACGCATATTTATGGCACCTCGGCATGCGGAGCCTGCATCGTCTTGGTGCTTGTAGTAGCTGAGAACGCCATCCTCAAGCACGAACCATCGCAGTTGGTAGCCCTTCCTGTAGTTAGTCCATTTCTTGAGATAGCCCTTCATCTCGCGAGCCTCTCGGCCGGCTAGAGGATCACCGGATGCAGAACCTGCCGTGCCCTGGGAAGCGGCCTGCCCCAGCACAGCTTTCTCCTGGATTCCACGCTGGGCAGCCACAGCTGCTGGAGACTTTTTGAGGATGGCCTTTGTAGCATCGTCGTTTGTGACGGACTGAGGCAGCTTGCCCTTTCGATCACGGCGGAAGGGGTCGGCACCATGCAGAAGCAGAACCTGGATGAGGTTGGTGTTTTTCTTTCTTGCAGCTTCGTGAAGCAAAGTGCCTCCAGTCTGGACTGTAAATGGTTCGGATGCGAATTCGGGGCTGTTGATGTCGAGAACGGTCTTGACTCGGTGCTCCTCGAGAACACCAGCAAGTGCGCCATAGTTGCCCCGCGCAATCAGTTCTTGGACTTGCTTGACCTTGGCCTCGGCGAAAAGCGATCGTGAGAGCTGCAGCAGCTGGAAGATTTCGGGGTTTCGTGCGACGTCGAGTGGCAGTTTGCCTTGGGCGTTGGCAATAGCATCGTTGATATCCTTTTGCTCGAGAAGAAGCTTCACGACTGTGGTGCGGCCCTGGATAGCAGCCAGGTGAAGCGGGGTGTTGCCATCCTTGTCGCGGGCATTCACATCGATCGATCCCTGTCCCTCGGACAAAACGTATTCAATGACAGGGAATTCGGCACACTGAATCGCTAGGTGAAGGATTGTGGTATCGTCGAGGGCGCTTGTGGCAGAAGCGCCTACTGATGAGATGCTCGCTCGCGGGGCATTCTCAGCTGTCTCGCGAATGGCACGGGAAATGGATGAGGTGTCGCCGCTTCGGAGGGCCTCGACGAACCTGAACTTTCGAACGGACTGCTCGAGGCTTGCAGTGCTTTTCTCGGCAGAGGGCGATGAGAGGAATTGCTGGGACTTTGATTGAGAAGCTGTAGGCGAGAGGCCAGCCGAGGAGACGGACTGCTTGGCCCCGTGGCCTCGCGGGGTCTGCTGGTGCGCCATGGGGTTGATTGGGTTTGAGGATGAGGGAGTTCTCCGAAGCCTCCCGTCTTCGGAACCGGACTCTTCGTCGCGAGTGTTGTTGCGCCGCAAAAGAGAGAGGGCGGCGGCGGATTTGGACCGCTTGTGGGTGCTGAAGATAAAAAGATAAACAGCGGTCAGTAGGTGGAACGACTTTTGATGCTGGGGGGTTGGTCAAGCAGTAGAGGGGAAGCTAAGTTTAAGTACGAGAGCGAAGCATGTGTGATGTGGCCCAGTTGCGACTCCATTGCATCTACTGCATCTGATGTGCGTGCATATGCAGCGGTAATTGCGAGCCAATCTGACAATGCAGCAGCTCTCTTGGTGCTGCAAAAGCCCAGCAGCAACGGTAATTATCACTATCACTTGGAAACTCACCCGTCACCGGCGTCAGACATGTTGACCAACGTCTACCAATGGATCGAGCTCCCCTCCCAAAGTTACTGTATGTATATCGAGCCGAGGCGGGGAACAAGAGAAAATAGGGGCCAGACACTGGATTGACAACAAGGAAGTGCGCTGCAGTCACGTAAGGTAGGTATCATGTACAGGGGTGTTGCTGGTCAATGCCAAGCAGTTGTGAATGCTGAGCTTTGGTGTTGATGTTGGTGAGGGGGAAAAGGGAAAAGAAACCTTGGTCGCCAGGTTGCCAGGAAAACAAAAGCGACCGGATTTAGATGATGCGGTTGATGGGATGAATTCGTCACGACGGGACAGAGCTGATCAGCCAAAAACGCAATGTTAGGTCG